AATTGACCATTTAACTCTACCTTATGCTTAGGGCTTGACCACAACTCCACCAGTGCAATCCATTGTTCATCAGTCATACTCCTCACCGACGATGTTGTTCTCACTTCATTTGCAGGTACTCCATCAAAGAAAGCCCTCTTCAGCTTGTGCCTTAATTGTCGTTGCCCAGTCTTGAGCAAATCAAAGCATGCAGCTTCAACTTCCTTGTCTTCAGGGTCTATGGTAAATTTGATCTAGTGAAGAGCGTGTCAAGAGCACATAGATTAGAAAAGAGGCATTCAAACCATATAAAAAAAAGAGAACATTAATTGCGTTGATTAATCAAGTCCTCACTTCGTTCACCTAAAAATAATGAGCTATTCACAGTTAGCGCACATCATATGTTTTTCATGAAAATAGGCAAATCATATTTCTTGGAGAGGAGCAATGTTTTCTTGCCTTCAAAGCCTGCTTGAATCAGCTCATCTTCTTGTGTAGGACAGTCAACAGCAAGCAATGCATCTTCTTGTGCATTAGTAGTTGTACCATGGATACCTTCCTCAGTTGATAGTTCCTTCGTCCTCTGCCTAGTCATTCTAGTGGTTTGGTCTTGTCCAACAGGTGGCATGGAGACTCTCTTTGGGCCTCTTGTTCCTGCAGTATTCTTGATGGTGTTCTTTGCCAAAATGCTCCTCTGCATGGCCTGCATAATACAAGGAAAAAATATCCGAATTAGTCTTATTGTATTAGAGCATAAGTGAGTAGCATATATGAGTAACAGTACTAATTGCTTCAAGAAGAAATGAATCCTAATTAATCTGATTGCAAATACCTCATCGAGTACAGCATCAGTTTCCTCCATATCTTCAGGTTCATACAAAGGATCAGATTCTTCTCGAGCCCTGCGCTTGCTGTTTGCTGTAATTGAACAGTTGACAATTTGAGCCAATTTTGTGACACCAAGGCTCTGTAATACTTGATTGTTCCTCATTATGGTTTGAGCCCTTTCTCTTTCAATATCTGTTAACTCCTCTGTAGGTGCATAGAAGAAACCATGAGCTTTCATAATGCATAGAAGTATATTCCATTGAAACATTCCATTCAGTACCGGAAACCGGCACTTTGCCGAGTGCTAGATGGTTTGCCGAGTGCAATTTTTTGGGCATTCGGCAAAGAAGCTGCTTCTTTGCCGAGTGCAAAAAAAAACACTCGGCAAACAAGCTCTTTGCCGAGTGTGTTTCTTTAGCACTCGGCAAAGAAGGTCTTTGCCAAGTGTTTTATTTTGGCACTCGGCAAAGGTGGTCTTTGCCGAGTGTTTTTGGTTTTACACTCGGCAAACAAGATCTACAAAGCACATTTTGAAGTAGTAAATTAATTCAAATGAAAAAGTTTTCAACTACAAAGTTGTATAACTTCTCAAGATCTACAACTTTTGTTTTGGTCATTTCTTCATTCGACAAAGCGACAGTAACGTGGTTCACAAAATCTACATCTCTCATATAGTTTCATGAAAACTAGAAGAGAGATCTCTAAGTTTTGTAAACAATGTTACTACCATTATGTCGGATGAATAAATGATCAAAATAAAAGTTGTAGATCTTGAGAAATTATACAACTTTGTAGTTGAACACTTTTTAATTTGAATTAATTTTGCCAACGAAAAGTACATCTAAATTTCTCAAATTTGAAATTTGAATTTTTCAAACGACCTCGGATGTTGAAACGGCCAAAATGAAAGTTGTAGATCTCAAAAAGTTATGAAACTTTGTAGTTGACAACTTTTTAATTTGAAATCATCTTGTCAACGAAAACTACATTTGAATTTCTCAAATTTGAAATTCAAATTTTGTAAACGACCTCGGATGGAGAAACTATCAAAATGAAAGTTTAGATTTTGAAAAGTTATGAAACTTTGTAGTTGACAACTTTTTAATTTGAATTCGTTTAGGGCCTCAAATAAGTAATTTACACTCAGTTTAGTATAGTATGTGGGGAACCAAAACGGAATCTAGACATAAGTGACAGTGTGGTGCAGTGGTAGAGGGGGTACGCGCGAGGGGGAGGTCGCGGGTTCGAATCCCGCCGGCCGCGTAGCGCGCAAATTTTTTTGGTTTTTTCGGTTCATTCTTTGCCGAGTGTTCATTTTTGCCGAGTGTTTTTTCAGCACTCGGCAAAGGCTTTGCCGAGTGCCCGAGATAAAGCACTCGGCAAAGTCCTCTTTGCCGACCAAAACTTTGTCGTGTGAGGTATGCCGAGTGTGGCACTCGGCAAAGGCTTTGCCGAGTGCTTTATGGCCTTTGCTGAGTGCCTCGGGCACTCGGCAAAGCTCCTGAGTCCGGTAGTGATTCAATACTTACCCAGAAATTAGAAAATGAGACAATGTCAAGAACTTGCTACATAATCAGTCAAGGAGTGAGGCAAGCAGACATGCCCTGCTGGTTCATTTTTATCCTATGCTCAGCACCCAGAATACCATAAATCTATTGAACCATAATGTGGATGCCTTTTATATTTAGTATTTCCTTTGAAAAATCCCATTCAATGCTTACCCAAAATTTAGAAAATGACAATGTCAAGAAGATCTAGGCTACATAATCAGTCAAGGACACAAGTAGACAGGCCCTGTTGCATGAATAAAATTTTGACATGTTTAAAAAGTTGATAATGGGAACATCCAATCCATCAGTGAAGATAGCGAGTTTCTTTCAAACTACACACTACTGTGATCATCATACTGCTAAGCTGAAAATGCTTGGTGCTGATATAGGTGCCAATTTTAAAGGTGGTCCATTATATAGATATCCGAAACAAAAAGTTCCTGCCGAAACAAAAAGTTCCTGCCTCCCAATCATACTTGTTTAACACGGCTAGTACATCTCAGCCCCTGGTAGAATATTGTAGCACTCACTTTTAGCCATACAGATTAAACAAATAGCTGAGATTGTACAAATAGCACTCACTTGTAGCCATACAGATTAAAAAAATTACAAATAAAAAGACCACAGTCGCACTTGTATGGACTACATTTACAATTTAACAAGAGGATACACTGGCAAATGGGGACTATTGATAACAAAATCATTTGATTGGAAATTTTCTATCAATTCTTCAGTGATAAGGTCTTAAGACAAATAAAGATGATAGACGATGAACCTTTCCCATTGTCTTCCTCATACATGGTGAGCAGATTGACTACGCTAAAAAGTAGAGGCAAACCTAGAACTGGGGGATTCACTTAAATCCCACAAAAAATCAGAGAAAAAATGAACGGGTACTACCACTACGGCACTACACAAGTTCACGCAAAGCAACTGAAAACCCTAACAGTAACTCAAAAGTTCATCAGATTTCAGGAATTATTTACCTATTGGTTGTTGTCTGGTTGCTCCAACCTTCCGACCAGGAGGCAGGGTGCTCCAACCTTTCGAAGTGGCACGTGGAGTGGGGGGAGGGGGTTGCGGCTTCTGGCGAGGGAGCGAGGGGGCTCGTAGCTTTTGACGATGGCTCCTGCTACGTGAGTCGGCGTGAGGGCCCGAGGGAGCGACACCTGGTAGTCGCCATCGGCCGGAGTCAGCGTCCTGGGGGTCGGCGCCTGCTACGTCAGATGGGGTGGAGTGAGGGGCGGCGATTTGGAATGGGGAGAAATAACAAGCATGTGGCGTCGGCGGGAGAGAAAAAGATGGCGGCAGGTGAAAATTTTGGGGATGGTTTTCATCGGGAAGCTGAGTGTGGTGGCAGTGGATGAATTTTTTGCGCCTGGCATCGGCGGGAGAAGAAGAGCAGCGTGGTGGGCTGGTGGCGGCGGATGAATTTTTTGCACCTGACGTCGGCGGGAGAAGGGAGCGTGGTGGCGGCGGATGGATTTTTTGGAATCAGAGAGCTAGGGTTTGAGACCGTTGGGCTTAATGGGCTGTTTTTTTTTTATTTTTAACAGAAAAACGGTTGATTGGATTTGAACCTCCAACTTGAAGCCTCACGTGTAGCACCCCTACCAACTCCACCCCAAAGTCATTTGAGATTAAATAGATGATATTTTTCTCTTTAGTATTCTAGATATTGTTGATCTCATCGAGATATAGAACATTTGGTTTTAGTCATTTCTCCATACAAGGTAGTTTCGACAATTCAAAAAAATTGTAATTCAAAATATTATACATGGATTTGAGCATATCATGTTAAAATTCAAACCATAAATTGTGACGATTGTCTATTAGCATGTCATGACAAATTGCAGCTCGTCATAATATGGAAATCCTTCGATTTGTGACAACTGCTTCTAAATCTTAGTGACGGACACATAATTTTTGTTGTAAAGTCGTACTCCCACCAAATAACGTCATAAAAAAATGATTTAGCTACAAATTTAGCCGTCGTAATGAGGAAATCGTCGTAGAAGGTCATATCTCTTGTAGTGAGTAACATAATACTACTCAGAAGACAATAATGTTAGGATCATGAAAAGGAGCATTGCAGAAGACAATAATGTTAGTAAAGGAGCATTGCAGAAGACAATAATGACAGTAACATAATACTACACCTCATACCTTAACCAAAATAAATAAATAAATAATAAAGAAGCATTGCAAAACTATGTCATAGCTTAGGGTTGCACTGGAATGCAGTGTGCCCAACTGAATCATCACCATGAATACCTGCTACTGCTACTACTAGCCCTCTTCAAGTTCCAGATCTTGATCTAAAAATGAAATTTTGTTTAGTTACCAGGAAAGAAAACAACACAGAAAGATGTCCTGTAGAAAAGGCTTTGTACCTTCACTAATCTTGAATAGCCAATCTTTACCACAAACAAGCGCCTCAAGCATTTCTGGCGCTAGTGAGCTTCTATGTTATCCAATAATTCTTCCTCCTAAACTAAAAGCAGATTCCAATAAAACTGTGCTAAGGGGAATAGCAAGGAAGTCTCGAACCATAGTAGACAATACAGGAAACTTGTCTGATCTGCTCTTCCACCTTGCTAGGATATCAAAATCCTCATTATCCTCCTCAAGTGCTTCTTCGGACTATGTATCGATTTCAGCTTTTGGTGCCTGTGCAACTCTTCGGCGTGTTGTGTATTGAACAAAGTCCACTTTGATCTTTCTTTTTCCAAGAACCGGTGACCCCACATTGGTGGAGGCTTGATTAGCACGTGTCATCATGTCCACACTATTTGTTCTTGCACATGGCTGCTCATAGAATGTGAAGTACTTTCTCATCCATTCTAAGGCATACCTCACATACATACCAACCTTACTTGTATCACTGAACACCCTCTCAAAGAATAAATTCAAGAAGTCAGCCTTCCTTCTTGGATCCAAGACAGTGGCAATGACTAAGACAACGCTAAATGCAATTTCTTTCTTCTTTCTCTTGTGGTTAGCTACATTATGAATATCATCTTCAGCAGGACTCCAATATTTCTCAAACTTGGAGTTCATGGAAATAGCCAACTCCTTGAGCAGAAGGATGCAAAGACGTGTGCTTCAGTTGGCCCTGAGACTTGGTAGTGTCCACTTCCCTTTGGCCTCTCATTCTCAACACGTCATGCAAGAGCCTTTATTTCTAATTCTATGATTCATCCATCTATCCCCTTTCTTTTGGCCGCCCATACTGAATGTGTTGTTTTGGGCACACTGGTAGAGAACAGAGCTTTACTCCCGGTGGGGAACCCCCTCTAGTCCCGGTTCCCCACCCGGAAGCAAGCATCCGGGACTAAAGGGGGGTCCTTTAGTCCCGGGTCAGGAACCGGGACTAAAGGTGCCTCCTGACATGCCACGATGGCCGGCACCTTTAGTCCCGGTTGGTAATACGAACCGGGACTAAAGGTTTTTTTCTTTTTTCTTTTCTTTTCATTTTTTTGTTTTCTTTTCAAAATAGGTTTTCGAAGTCGTATTGTACGCTGCTAATTATACATTTATACGCACGTATAGTATGTTTTAGTTCAAGCACAATGAACGTATTAAATCACACAATTCAAGCATAGAAATATATATATATATATATATGTATGCATCATATATATATTTACATGCATGCATGCATATGTGTATTTTAGATTATATTATTTCATGTGCATATATTACAAAAAGATTGCATTACAGTTGTTGTGATATAACAAGTTTTCTCTCATCCTCTAGCTTGGCTTCCATGGCAGTGTTGGGTCGAAGTAGAACTCGCCCTTGGAATCGATGACCTGCTCATTAAAAAATCCGGCTATAGACTCTTGAATTGCTTTGATTTGGTCTTGCCATATGACCTTTTCCTCCAACCATCGAGTCTACAGGTTTGAATTAAAGGAAAATAAATTAATATATGTACATATATATATATAAAGACATAGTAACACAATCAATAATAATAATTAAATGAATATATAGTGTATTTTTAACGTACTTTTAGTCTCTCTGTAGGAGTTCTTTGGGAGACCACCTTGATAAACTTGCAAACATAGTAACCACAGTAGTTGTTCCCTGTTCATGCCTCAGACACCACTTTACGAGAAAAAGATTTGTCATCCAATCTGGTGATCCGGTGAAAGCTATATGTTTAATTAATAAAGATGATGCGATTTAGGGGACTTACTTTCAAAGGATTACATTCGGTGGCGCTTTACATTTTCCCATGTGTTGCTTCTCAATAAAGGTTTTCCAAACACTGCCTAATAAAAAATTTACCACGTCATCGAGATATAGTTAATCATCATGTTTGTGTGTATATATAGTTGCTAGAGATACCGAAATTACCTCTGGATAATATCTATCATATCTTGGTAGTCATGTTGTGGTTTTCTCATCGAGTCATAGATTATCAAGTGACTTTTCACCAGATCGATGTCCATCAATATCCAGTGATTGCTGCATGTGTTTATAGGATATAACGCATAACACTCATTAATTAACTAGAATCAACATATGAGCCATTAAGGATGATCGACATTATTAACACTCTCTTGAAGTTGTAGGGAAAGAGTATATCCTTCTTGTGGCGTTGGTTCACTAAGAAGTTCATGAGGTTACTCTCTGACTCAGACTTCTAATTAGTCTTTGGAGTAACTAGGTCTTTGAATACTATATGGGGATCAACAAAACCAATTTCATTGCAGCCTTCCTTTCTGAGCTCTGTCATTGTAAATCTGCATATATATAGTACTTGTTAGGATAATTTATATGCATATACACACATATGATGAGTTTAATAATAGATCGAAAGAATTATTACTTACCAGGCAATAGCGACTAATGATAACTTTGTCCGGAGAGAGGTCGGTGGCATAGTTGATGAAATTACGCAAAGTCAACATACATACACATCGCCATACGGAACCAATGTTTGTCTCTAATTCGACACCAACGTGAAGTCTCCACGGTAGAAGCCTTTGCATGTACCACTTGTTTAGTTGGTACATTTGCGTCCCCAGATCAGATAAGGCTTGAGGGTTGTATAGACTCTGGCCTAGTACAATTTTTTTCTTCCAAATATCAACCTCCGCCGCACTCTCAATGTTTCCATCACCAAACATCTGGTAAAGGTCGAGACCAGTCTCATCAATAAATTCACCAAGGTGATCCAAATCGACATCCGGAGGTATGTTTGCGTGATGCATTAATCCTAAATTCGAACCATATTCATTACTAACAACTAGCGGGGGGACTGATTGGTGCGCTTGTTGTCCAAGTTGGGCAACTCCTTTCCCTGCCCGCTTCTTTTTCTGTGCCACCTCAATTGACTTGGTGAGAGTGCGGTCATAGTCCGTCAACGTTGATTTGGACGGCTTACGAGATTCCCGCTGTTGTTGCTGGTAAGAAGCCACCCTTTTTCTTAGAATATATGGAGCTACGAAGAAGTACGGTTTCTCCGGGTTTCTCCTTGCTTCTTGATTCTTTTTAAGTTTGTCATAGAATCTAGACATATCTTTTTTATATGCATCAGTTCCTTCTTCCTTCTCTTCAGATATTATTTTGGGAATAGCCCTTGGTTTCATGGTGGCTTTCTTTGCCGGCGGGGACTGGTTCTTCGTTTGCGGGGTTGGCCTCTTGCTAGGCTTCTTGGTAGGCGGGGGCGGGGGAGGCGTTGGAGACCTCCTTGGAGGTGTTGGCAGCGGCGTTGGAGACCTCCTTGGAGGTGGTGGCTGCGGCGTTGGAGACCTCCTTGGAGATGGTGTGGATGCAGCCTCGCCTTCCAACACAATGTCATCATACAGAGCACTATGATGATCTGGCGATTGAACAATTGGATTTAGGTTGGGGGAGGATCTGCTACAAAAAAAGGAATGACATATTATTATGAGCAGATTGTTAATTATTTAAGCCAATACAAATTAATGATGTAGTGTTTTCATCCGCACGTACCTATGGTGAGGTAGTTCAGGAGGAGGTGGAGCCAACATCCCTGGAATGATGATGTAGCACTTGCGCCATAGAATGAATGTCTTCTCCGCTTCTCCTAGAGTCTTCTCCCCATCACCTCCGGGAATGTCAAGAGGCAAATCACTAAAACCTTTTTCAGCTTTATCTACCAAGATGGTAGCATATCCTTCTTGGATTATATTCCCATGAATCCTTGGTGTCTTGGTTGGTCGATAGGATTAACAAGACCGATAGCCACCTTGATTGTGGAATTCCCCTTGAATGTGTAGCTCACACGATGTACAAGGTTCGATGGCGTCATCCACGAGGAAGCGTAGTCTGTGTCCCCTTGATTTGGTATCTCCGTGGAAGCATAAGCGCTTTCAAGCAATGAGCAGATTGGCTAATGTTGATTCTGGCTCGATGCACGCTTGCTTGCACTCACCGCTATTTGCACTTGCCTTCCGATTTCCTCCTGCATTCTCGCTTCAAGGTTTTTTCCCTTTTTTGTGCTTCACGCGATCGCTTCCTCCAACCTCTGGAGCCGTTGTGCCTCTTCTTCCTTCTTTCTCTGGCGGCTTCTGTAGGAAGGTCTGTCCTGAGGGAATCCATGCTCCCACGAGACACTTCCTTTGCCTCTAGTTCGGCCACCATGTTCAATAGTCCCGATGGCGTATGTCAGCTCATCCTTCTCTCTGTTGGGCCTGAACGCACCACTAGCAGTAGCTCTCTGAGCATAAAACAATCTTTCTGCTGCTTCTTGCAGTCTTGCGCCATAAAAGCACTTCCCTGTCTCCTAGTCCAGTGTTCCCCCATGAGCAAAAAACCAATTCTTTGCACGTTCTCTCCACTCGAGTGATTCTGGTGTGATACCCTTGGCAAGAAGGTCTTCTTCCATTTTGTTCCACTTCTTAATGGTAGTCAGGTAGCCACCTGATCCCAAGTTATGGTGGTATGTCTTCTGTTGGGCATTACGTTGGTTCTTTATCACCCGACTCACGCCCTCTTCCGAAGTCTTGTACTGTACAAACTCATCCTAATAGGGCCTCTGCTTTGAGATCGGGCCTAGGACAGTAAAATCTAGTGCTATGTTCTTCTTGACATACATCATGTATAGGTGTTTCTTCCAAGTCTGAAACTGGGTGGACATCTTCTTCATTGCCCAATCCCTAACTCGCTCCTTCAATTCATCACCATCTATTATATCATCATAACCATCTGTTTGGAGCATGAAATGTACCAAGACATCTTTCCAAATTAACGTCTTGTCATGATCGGAGACAAAACTGATATGAGGAGCATTGGTCTTCTTCTTCCATTCGCATGAGTCTTCGATCGGGAGCCGGTCCCGTACAAGGTAACCATAGTGGTGCACGAATTTCATTTTATTCGGCCCCCCGGTTCTCCTGTATCCACATTGAACTCCAAGATGATGAAGCGGCCCTCCAATGGCTTTTTGGGACCTCGAACATTTTTACTCTTCGTTGTAGTTGTTGATGTCGATCCAGAGGGCTACAAAACATAAACATTATTTTTAATGTCATGAGCACACATAAGACATATGATAATATATATAGCTAATAATAAAAAAAATATATACTTGGCCAATATGTTGTTGTTCATTTTGTTCAAGAGCTAAGTACTGACTCCTGTCATCTACATCCTCTTGCACGTTATTTTTAGCACCATCATCGCCGGCAACTTGAGTGCCAGTGTTGATCAAATTCATCATCAACTCCTCATCCATGTTTCTCGGGTCGGCCATCTAGCTTCAAAAAAACAAAACCAATATATAGTACGTCAAATCTTTGCTTACATGCGTAAAATCTTCCGCCGTATAAACCCTAAACCCTAAACGAGTAGGTTTTGATGGGTGAAGGTTGGTTTGTATGATAAGAAGAATCAGGAAGCGAGTAGGTTTTGGTGGCGATCCTGCCTGAAACAAAAGGGGGGCATCGCTACGCATTAGGTTTTATTAAACGGAAAATAGCGAGCCTCGCCTGAAAGAAAGGGGACATCGTTGCGCGTCAAGTTTCTGAGAACAATAAACGATGAGCCTCGCCTAAAAGAAAAGGGGGGCGTTGCTGCAAACC